TACAGAGCAGCTTCCCTGCCGAGGAAAGGCACACCAGCTGGAGCCAGTCCCTTGTCTCACTGTTTTGTGGACTTCAAGCAAGCCTTTGAACCTCTAAGAATCTCTGTCTTCTGGGACTGGAAATGACACCTGCCCTTCCTACCTCCTAGGTTCTGGTAAATACAAGGTTCAATACCAGATATACAGGTGATTGGAAAACTATTCTTCCCTAACTTTTAACCGCAGGCATTCCCAGATACCCGCAGGCCTCTGATGGTGGTAAGGGCGAGATCCTTGAACTGTTCTCAGAATGTCACAAAGCCTAGCAGAAATGACCCATGTGAAAAGGGTGCCCACGAGATCAATTAATAAATGCTGAAGATCAAAATCTTTAAAAATAGAGGGTCCAGTGGGGACAGGGGAGGTAGGGAAAGGCAAGGAAATGTGAGAAACCACAGGTTAATCCAAGTCGTTTGAAGGTAAGGAAACTGAAGCTCAGAGAGGCTAAGTGACTTGCCTAAGGTCACGCAGCTAATAAATGGGAGATTGAGCATTGAGGTCCATGCTTTTCTCACTAGAACTCACGGCTCCTATGTGGGCATGTAAAGCACCAACTCAGCAATGCCCAGATAACCTTTAAAGTTCTGTCAGACCCTCAGAATCTATGGACCTCACCCATTCTCCCTGAAATGACATTTCCAATATCCAACCTGCCACCTCACTCGCCTCCAAAAGGTGAGATGATGCAATACCTGTAGAGAGGTGGAGATGCACAGATCAAACAGGCAAGAGGAAATTATTTGGAGTTTTAGGGTTCTGTGGTATCCAAGTGCCTAGGAAATTTGTAGTCAAAAACAAACTTCTTTTCCTTATGCTATGATTTGTCTCAAAAGCCAGGGAAGAAATCAAAGACTGTCCGACTGGCACAGCCCAAAGAACTGTACTTGGAGCAGTCCAAGGGAAACAATAATTCACAGAAATAAATCCAAATGGATAATGAACAAAAATGAAAGGATTCAGCATCACTAATAAGAAAAGAGGCACAAAGCAGCACATTGTCTTGTTGGCACAGAGAACTTTTTTACATTGTAAGCTCTGTATTGGTAAAGGTGGCAAGACTAGGGTCTCCCATACTAATGGTGGAGAATAAGCTGGCACGACACTTTGGGAAACGACTTGGCAACATGGACTCGAACAAGTATTTGTTCATTCACGTTCACAGCAGCATTATTCACAATAGTCAAAGGTGGAAGCAACCCAAGTGTCAACTGATGGATGAATGGATAAATAAGATGTGGTATATACACCCAATGGGATATTAGTCAGCCATAAATAGAAAGGAAACTCTGACCCACGCTACAACATGAATGATCCTTGACGACACATACTAAGTGAAATAAGCCAGTCATAAAACAACAAATACTACAGGATTCCACTTATATGAGTAGTCAAATTCACAGAGACAGAAAGTAGGATGGTGGTTGCCAGGGGATGGGGGAGGGGGAAATAGGGAGCTAGCGTTGAATGGGTACCGAGCTTCAGTTGGGGAAGATGGAAAGTTATGGAGAGGGATGATGGTGATGGTTGCCCAACAGTGTGAGTGTACTTAATACCACTGAACTTTACACTTAAAAATGGTTCAAATGGTAAATTTTATTTCATTTGGGTTTTCCCACAATATTTGTAGAATTTAAAAAAGAACACCAAAACGTTAAGGTGTGGAACAAGAATGCAAAATGCATACCGCCACGCTGACTGTTCCACTGTTTGTAATGGAGCAAAAGCTAGAACATCTAAACTTCTGATACTAGAGAAACAACTGAATAAACCATGGTATATTTGTACAATGGAATGTTACTCATCTACAGAAAAATGTTTTCATAGAATCTTTCATGACATGGAAAAATGGTCCTGATATAAGGCAGAGTGGGAACAATAGGACTCAAAGCTATTTATATTATGGTTCTAATCATGCTTTACAAACAAGCCTGGGTAAACTGCTTGAAGGAAATACACCACTGTTTTAACAGTGATTATCCATTATACACGGTTCTACTTCTTTGTAATTTTCTCTACTTTCCAAGTCTTCCTCAATAAGCAGTTATTACTGTTACTCCCTCTCCCCCACCTCCTAAAAAAAGGAAAAGACATACACCAACGCCAATTCCAGTACAGGGTGGCAGTGGTGACGGTCATGGTGGCCAGCAGCATTGGGAATCTACATTTGTGGTACCCCAGGCATAGCGCCCCTCACATACAATCTCAACTCTCCAACTGCAGAAGTCTGCCTTTTCTTCATACGTGAGATTTCTTCTGAATGTGCAAACTATTTTCTAGTCCCCAGTTTAGCAAGAGTCTGGGATTTGACCTAGTGGTGAGCACAGCATGGAACTGAGGTAGATCCAAACTTTCCTATTCCCAGACACAGAAGGCAAACCAACTATTCATGTTTTTTTCTAACAAGAATCACTTAAATCATAGAGCACAAGGAAAGAAGAATACAGTCTTTTCTTTTTTCAGTCTCTAAACAGCCGTCAGGCTCTAAAAGCTAGAATTATTTTCTCTGGCACTCAACTTAAAGAGAAAAAAGGTAGATGAGAAACACGTAACTATCAGGGATTTATTCCAAAGAGCAACTTGGTGAGGACGTCAGAAGGTTTAGAAAGATTCAAGTCAATTTCCCCTTCCAACTTCTGGTGTTTTTCTACCCAACAAGAATCAGTATTTAGGAATAGAGGTCCTCCTGTAGAGCACAGGGAACTATATTCAATAACCTGTGATAAACAGTAATGGAAAAGAATATGAAAAAGAATGTATATATGTATAACTGAATCACTTTTGCTGTACAGCAGAAATGAACACAACACTACAAATCAACTAGACTTCAATAAAATTTTTAAAAATACTTAGGAAGAGAGCTCCAGATCTTTGTATGGATCACGAAGTATCTTCAAAGATCAAAATTGGTTCAGCATCCAGTTGTATTTGGTTGTTCTGAAAGTTGGCATTTGAAATAAGATATATATGGCAACTCTCAGTGAATCGTAACAATCCATTCCCCCCGAGAAGATGTTTATGCTGTATCATTTTTGAGGTAAAGCTAAATGGAGCCAGCTAAGTCCCAACACCAATGACTTCTAGTCAGGTCTCCCCATTGTAAGTATTTTGCAGTAACACCCAATGGCTTGATCCACTCCCAGAATCCTGCCCCCACACAACAATCCCTGTATGAGGAGGCATGCCTGTCCCATTACACGGCTGCGGGTGAACAAGAGCCCTTCCTGGAACAGAAGGCTTCCAGGGAGTGAAAAATCTTTCTGTTTGAAGTAGTTTCCAGGTCACTACTTCATTGGAGGGAAGGCACAGAGTATGTCAGAAGGGGGATGGAAAATGCATAGCACGGGCTGATCTGTAAACACTAGTGCTTATTTGATAGCTTTTCAAATCAGACCCTTTGAAGCAATCAAGGGGGTGGGCGGGTAGTGGTGGTGGAGGGGTGGTTCTGGACTGAAACTTGCATGATGATAATGGATTGTTTTTATTCCAAACTCTGCTGACTTTGGGTATTGGCTAGATAAGCACGAAGACGACACTTTTCAGACCTCACCCACTGTGTCTTATCCAGTGCACCATATTTTCTAGCTGGGTCAGGAAATGACTACCAGTTCCAACTCAAGAGAGGAAAATAACCCAAGGGGCGTCCATGTTGTTGGAAGGGACAGACAAAGGCCGGGCTCAGACACTCACTCAGTGGCTATGCCTCCGATGGAAAGGAAGCTGCCCCAGTCACTGAGGCAGAGATGAGGAAAGACTGACCAAGAAGAGGCTGGGCTCTGTATTCTCACACGCATTGAGGTCTCTGGGCTGGGAAGGTCTTTGGGCCATGCATCCACCCACTAGATGGTCACCCGGACTCTAACAGAACACCACACAGCCAGCCCTTGGCATGGCTGGAAGCCTCAGACTCTTAGTGGGGGATGTCCCCATCTTAAGCTGAAATTGGCTGCCCATTCATTTCCATCCACCGGCTCCAGTTTCACCTTCCTGTTTGACGTGCTAGCCCCACAATCCCCACTGAAGCCAAGAAAAAGAAACTGAAATCTTTTCCACCGGAAGTTGACAAGTCTCTTCATCTCTCTGTCCCCTTTGCTTTCAACTTGGCCCCTTTCCCTCCCCAGGACCAGAGGGAGAGGCCAGCCAGTCACTGCTTAGTACCCTGACCTTGGTGGGAAAGACCCTAGGCCCGGTTTCACAGAACCTCTGTATCTCCTGGAGATCGGAAAATCTTGATTTCCATGACCATGCTTTTTGGTCAAGAATGGCAGAGGTTAAAGCAGGCTGGAATCTTCCAGAAAGCGGATGGATCCCTGGTCAGGACATGGGTATTTCCTGCCTGGGAGAACCTCTCCCTGTGACTGGAAGCAAGCCAGGGCAATGCACGGATCAGGGGGTCCCTTTCCCGCTGAGGAGACTCCCAAGGGGAGCCAGAGGAAGCCATTTCAATTACTTTGAGAAGCCTCAACTCTAGGTGGGCAGGGCCTTACCTGTGACAGTCAGATACCCAGATCAGTGGGGAGGTGACCAAAAAAAAAGTGAGTGCCTCAGGGTGGTCCCTGAAGTACCCTGGCAAGTGGATAGCCCCTGACCCTTCTGGAGTCTCCTGCCAGAAATGGTGGGGTTTTTCCCCAGGACCCCTGACATACCTTTAGGGAAAAAAAGGTAGAATTCATTGAGCAACATCTCACTGTCGATTTGCAGAGAAATTAAATACAGTGAAACGGTTTCATATGTGGATGCTTTGTCCACCTCGGCCCATCAATTCCTTTCCTTTCCTTTCCTCTAAGGGTGCTGAACACAGGGCATCTGAGAGCGGATGAGATCTGGGAAGTGCCAGGGGCACTTGAGTCTCCCTCACCAACACCCTTTTCCTCGGTCATCTAACCCCTGCTTTGGGGGCCTCGAGGTTTCCACAGGAAGCGAAGAAAGAGAATATACACCAAAGAAAGATCCTGGAGACCGGGTGTGTTCCAAGTGTGAGATCAATTTCTTTTTATTGCCATCTTAACAAAAATACTTGGGAAGGCAATCTTTGATTCCAGCATCGGAGGACAGGGCAATGCCAGGCAATAGTCAAGCCATCGGGCTGTCGGACAGGGGGAGCAGGAACCCCCAGAGAACCACAGACTGGGAGAAGGAGCCCAGGACACAGGGACGTTGCAGTTGCCCTCCATTCTCCCGCCACGGGGCTAAGCTTGGGCTGGGGTGAGAAGCAGGACTCCAGGAATGGCGGCAGCAGGCCCTGGGCATAGCAGTCCTCCCAGCCCCCACCCAACTATGGCTCTAGGGGGCAGGTGTGGCAGGATGGAGGGTTGGGATATGAGTCAGCCTCAGGCCAGGGAGCAAAGAGGACACACAGCTGAGCTGCACCCACGTCAGAGCTGAGCTTGCATCCGCCACTCCCCGCCTCCCGCCCTAACTCTAAGAACCGGGCTCTCTCCCCACACTCCAAACCCAAACACGAAGCTTCGAGATGTGTGTAGCTAATGCATACGCAGCCCAAGCAAGCAGAGGCAAGGCATGCTGGGACCTGGAACGGGACAGGAGCCCTGCTGGGCTCGCGAGGGGCCAGAGGAGGGGTCGCCTTCTGGATCCCGAGACCTAGGCCCTACTTCTCCCCAGCCACTGGCTGCCAGCCTTCGTGCCGGGGCGGGGTGGGGTGGACTCGCACCCTGAACGCTGCTGTTGCCTCCCACTGAAACCCCGAAGAGCTTGGCAGGGGCAGGAGCAAGCCCCCTCCCAAGTCCCACGTCTGGTCTCTGACAGGGGAGCTGGAAAAGTCCACAGACCTGGCTTCCAGTCCTGGCCCCGCGACCGGCCGGCTGCTGTTTCATTTGTGCGCAACACAGATGCTAACGGCAGTACAGCTGGTCACAGCACCCACGTGGCTGCCTCTCCCACTGTGCCGACGACCCACTGAGATCACACGTCTGCGAGCGCAGCGAGAAACGTAAAGTGCTCTAAGAATGCCACGTAGTCTTCCCCTTCCTCCGACGTCACCCCGCTCCACAAAAGGCAAGCATGGCAGCTGAGCACGCGAGCGAGGGCAAGCGGAAGGCCAAGGCTGGGGCGCCACCCACCGGGGCTCAGAGCCCTGGGGGAGGGGAGGACAGACCCCTCCCGGAAGGGCTGAGCTCTGCTTGCCCATTCTCGGGCCTCACCCTCCTCGAAAGCAGCAGCCTCAGGGCCGGGGAGGCTGATGCGGCAGCCCTGAGGACGGACAGCGGGATTCCGTTCAGATGCCCCCCACTCTCGCTCCCCCTTTCCCTGCCAGGCCTGCTGCTGTGGGGTGCAGACCAAGAGGAGGCCGACCCTCCAGGCCAAGCAAGCATCAGGCAGGTAGCTTCTCCTGCATCTTGAGCACCTGCCACAGATGAGGGAGGAGGGCTGAGCCCAGGGCAGCCAACCTGTGCGCAGCGAGGAGACGACAGTCCCCCCAACACCCTACAAGGGTCTTCGATCTTGGACACAAGAGACTGGCCCCTGTCTCAAGGCCAGACACCCCTCCTCCATCTCTCTTCCTCCCAGCGCAGACTGGCCGGCTTAGAAACTGTGCTTTCTCTTCCGAGACCTGGTAGTCCGTGCGTGGGCCGGCGCTGGGGGTGCCTCTGGGGGCTCCGCTGGGGGAGCCTCGGCCCGGGGGGTGGAGCCTGCGGGCGCTGCCCCGTCGGGCCCCTGCTGAGATGCCTGGACCCCATCCCGGATCTCTGTCAGCGTCTGGCACATCTGGCTGACACGGCTGGTCAGCTCGGCCATGGCCTGGCCGATGGCCTGCATGCCGCTTGCCATGTCCCGGTGCACGGTCACCAGCTCCTGGCAGAACTGCCGAAACACCTCAGTCTGCTGGGCGTGGGTGTGGAACAGCTGCCAGTCTAGGCCTGTGCTGGGTGGGCCGGGGTGCGGCCGAGGGGCCCTGCAGGCGGCCTGGGCCTGAGGCGAGGGCCGGGGCAGGGCCTCGGGCTTGGGGCCCACTGTCTCGGACTGGTCAGAGGAGGAAGAAGAGAGGAGCAGGGCGGGCCTGGCCAGGCAGGCCTCTTCTTCTGGCGACGGCTGCAGGGGCCCCCGGAGGGGCTGCCTCGAGGGCCCGGGCGTCTCCTCATCTTCATCATCTTGGGGGACAAAAAAACAAAGAAGGGCGATTGATTACAACTGCGAGAAAGAAGGCAGCCCTGGGCTCGGACGCACCCCCCAAAGTTACCTAGCCTCCCCCCACCCTGCTACCCTTCAGCTTCGTTCGGCACCTGCCTCCCCTCACTCGTAGAGAAGCACCTGCTCCCTAGATCCCTGAGGTGCTTGGGCCAGGCACGCCTGGGGAGACAGGTGAGCATGAACAGTGCCCAGGTCCCCAGGTCCCCTTCCTTGTACAGGAACAGCGACTTTCTAGTGGGACCCCAGCCCCAGGGATGGCACGTCGACCCAAGGGCTCACTTCCTCTCTCTGCGGCTCAGTTTCTGCAAAGCAAAGGTAACAACTGCTCTACCTACCTCCCCGACCACTTGCCCACCTAGCAGGTTGTTAAGACTACACAGGAGGACAGACAGAAAGACACTCTGCGAAGCTCGAAGAGCGACACCTGCCAAAAGGTACTATGATGCTCTTGGCCGCCCTGAGTTCCCGCCTCCATGCGGCCATTTCTGAGCTGCCTGGGGCCACCTTGTGGGCCTGCTGGAATCTGCAGCTTTAGGTCATAGAGGGGGAAGCTGACAGGCTGGAGAAGGGAGGGAAGGGATGGATGGCTCTGGGACAGACAAGCCCAGATGATGCAGAGCAGATCCACCTGGGCGACCAGCCCTGCCGTCCTCTCAGCGCCCCAAGGCAGGCTACCCGAGCAGACACACCCCTTCTACCTGGAGCACCTGACGGCACACAGGGACCATCAGACAGACTGCTACTTGTGACCAGTCGCAGGGAGGGGCCCAGCCCTGCACACGCGGGTCTCGGCGGCTCTCTCGTGAGCTGGTTCCCACAGCAAGAGCGAAAAATATACAGGCTGACCCTCCTGACAGGCACACCTCCCTGCCTGTACCTGGGGGGCTGAATTCAGAACCACCTCAGGGGAGGTGACAGGAAGACAGATTCCCGTTGCCCTGAGCCGCATGCCTCCGAAGGGTCCCGGCATCTCACTTGGGCCAGCACAGTAAGAGAGCCTAGTGCCTCATGACCCCCACTTGGCGGACACCCATTCTGGAAGGGCAGGGTTGAAAGAAGTGGGACGGGCTGCCGTGATGCTACTCCCTCCCTTTCAGGGCCTCATTCTACCCAGCCCCTAGCCAAGTGCCGTAGCAGCTAGGAAAAGGAGGCCTGGACCAGCCTGCGGTGGAGGGGTCCTGGGCCCCCTACCCAGTTCAGGTCACATTTGGTAACCTCATTACCTTTGGTCTCGGGGAGACGGAAGGATGAGCAAGACAGAATTTAAGGAACAGACTTCACTAGATGCTAGCCTTCTCCCTTTTCTCATAATTAGGTAGCATCATCCTGAAACTCCCGGATACACTGATTCAGCAGGAGCTGGCAGACCCAGGTTCAAGTCCTCATTCTGAATCAGGCTCTGAGACCACCTCTGTGTCTGGAGCTTAACTACCTCATCTGGACAACATGGAAGTCGGACCGGATGATCTCCTCCTTCTTTCCTAGTTCTCAGTGTCTGACTCCGAATGGCCACCTGTCAGGAGCCCCGGCCAGACAGGAAATTAGCAAGCTCCCTGCGGCAAGGGGCCTGGGGAGGGGAGGCTGGGTCTTTGTGAACCATCTTCCCGAGGGCTGGTGTTCCTGGAGCCCTGCTGCCCGACTGGTCTCTCACAAGCCAGACAGCCTCCAGCTGGGACCGCGGGCTGCGAGTGGGGGGCAGGTCCGTGCAGAAGCACAACTGAAGGGGATGCAGCCCCAGCAGGGAAGGGCCTCGAGTGCTCCCCCTTCTGGTGAGCCCCGATAAGCACTACAGCCCCAAAGGACGCCCCGTGTAGGCCAGGATATTCCACACCCCCCAACCCCTGGCATCCAAGTTCATTCTGAGACACAGGAAGCAGAGGGGAAAGAGGGAGACGAGTGCCGGGGAGCAGAGGGGTGGAGGGGGCCATGCGGAGGGGACCCAGAGCACAGAGAGAGGGGTCCTAGTGAGAGCCTTGGGGCGGGGGTTTGTGGGGGGGGCGGTGGGCAGAAAGAGGCAGGGTGCAGAGAGAAGAGAAGGCAGCATGGCACCGCGGAGGGGAGTGTGGAAATAACACAGAAATAAAGACACTCGGAATAGACAGACAGAAAGGACTGAGCTTTCGGGGCCTGGGACTTGGCTGGCTTCCTCTCGCGCCCCTCCCCCTCGCCTGCTACACGGGGCTTCCCTGGCTCCTCTCTGTTCCTGGAACGTGCCAAGCGCCTTCCTGATGCAGGGCCTCGGGGCCTCGTACATGCTGTTCTGCCTGCGAGGCCCTCCCCTCCCCTGCGCTGCGCCCCACGGCCCACGCGTACCGGCAGGCTTAACTCTTCCTCACCCTTGGTCTCAGTTCAACTGTCATTCCCGGGAGCCTTCCCCAGCCTCGGTGGATGGCCAGTCCACCACTCCTGTGCTCAGACGGGCCGCTACATAATTTGCAGGGTCGAATGCAACACGAAAATGCGGGCGCCTCGTTCAAAAACTAGTCTGAGTTTCAGGAAGGCAACCGAGGAGCAGTTAGCCCAGCTCCGGCCTTGAGAGCGACGGGTCGCACACCCAAGTAGTCAGCCCTGCTCTCAGGACCTCCTGTATTTGTCCTTCACGCCTTTTTTCAAATTTCCTTGCGCAATTATTTAATTAAAGTGTGTTTATTCTCACGAGTTTAAGGAGCGTCCCAAGAGCAGGGGCAGGGTAGGTTTGTTGTTGTTGTATTTTTTGTTTTTTTTTTTGCGGTACGCGGGCCTCTCACTGCTGTGGCCTCTCCCGTTGCGGAGCACAGGCTCCGGACACGCAGGCCCAGCGGCCATGGCTCACGGGCCCAGCCGCTCCGCGGCATGTGGGATCTTCCCGGACCAGGGCACGAACCCATGTCCCCTGCATCGGCAGGCAGACTCTCAACCACTGCGCCACCAGGGAAGCCCTAGGGTAGGTTTTATGCCCATCTCTGTCTTCCCAGCTCCCAGCGCAACTCCTGGCACGGTGTTCAGGAAATATTCTCGAATGAGTGAAGGGAAAGAAGTAGAGAGGACAGAAGTGGGGGAGGGAGGGAAGGACGGAAAGACTGGGCGAGGCAGAGGGACAGGAGAAAGAAGGCGGGTGCAGGGGACTCCGCCAGGAGTGGGTGGGGAACAGGCAGGGGGAGCCCAGGGAGGGGAAGCGGGCGGTACTCACAGCTGGTCGAAGGGCTGTCGGTGCCATCCAGTTCCACCCTGGGGAAGCCGTGCCCGGACCGGGCTGTGAGCAGCGCTGACTCGATGGCCCTCTCGTGGGCAGTGAGCACGATGGCGGGGGCCCGGCCCCCGGCCCCTGGGCCCGACAGGGACTTCTGCATGAAGGCCAGCTTGTCCTTGGTCCTCCGTTTCATGTCATCCCATCTGTGCTTAATGTCCTTGACGGAGCGGGGGACCTGGCTGACGGAGGTGATTTTCCGAGCTATGCCTTCCCAAATCTTGTCCCTGTCGGCATGGGACAGCCGCATGGTCTCCCTCCCAAAGAGAACCGCTTCGTGGTGGGTCACCTCCGTGACCAGAATGTCCAGCTCCTCCTTGGAGAACTTGGGCTTCCTCTTACGCTCAGCCAGGGGCACCACGTTCCTTGGGTTGAATATCCCACAAAGCACAATTGGGTAAATGACCGTCAGCGCGGCAGGGCCTCCTCCTTCCTAACTGCCGGCCCCCAGCCGGGGAGCCAGGAGGCGCCTGGGCGCCCGCGCCCGCTCACCACCACCACACCCTCTTCCTAGCGACAGGCCCCTTCCACTGCTCCTTGGAGGGCAGGAGGAGACGCGGCGTACTCGATGGGAGTGCTGGACGGAGCCGGACGCCTTCAGTTTCGGGCCCTGCCTCGCCTCTGACTAGCTGTGAGAGCCATGGCCGCTCAGCAGCCTCTCCTGGTCCCACTCACTCCATCCGGAACCCGAGTAACAACTGCACCAACCTAGGGGCTTGTCACTAAGGAGGCAAAAGCACAGCGATGTGAAAGAGCTTTAAAGCCCTGAACGGGAATAAAGGATCCTTATTGGGGTTAGGGTGAGGCCATCGCCTCTACAAAGCGATCTTTACCTAGGGCCATAGACCCCGGTGGCTTGGAGGAAGACCTTTACACAGTGACACTATTTACAGTGGGCTTCCATGGGGTGTGGCCTCGCTGGTGATGCCCATGATTAGGGCGTGGCCACAGAAAGCCTGTTCTGTCCTGCGGCTCTTCCCCTTCCCAGTCTCCCCAGTCCCCACCTCTGGGTGTGTACAGGCTCCCCTCCCACTGGAGTGCTGGCTGGCAGCAGCTCCTTTGGGGGCGGGCTGCTGTGCTTTTTAGCAGCTCATGGGTAGAATGTGAGGACCCCATGAGCACCCATCGGGAGACAGGTTCCACTTTGATGGAGACCAGGAATGACCTCGGCTTCCATCTGCACAGAGCAGCCAGGGGCCCCGGGCATGGGCACAGCGCAGCCCTGACCCCTCTGGCCTGGCACCTACTCTGGCTCTGCAGCTCCGTATCTCCACAGTGTGGTTCTGTCCACTCTTTAACTCATGCCCAAGGTCCCAAAGATCCATCCAAGAGAAGAACCTAGGATATGGAGGGAACCTGGTTCACTCCTCTGGCAGGTGCCGAAGCCACAGCAAGACACAAGGGCACAGAGATCCTTCAGCCTTCACCTCCCCCCAAGAATATCACAGCCCAGGAGGCAGGAGTAGGAGTCCGAGACTTTGTCACCTGGCCAAGACAGTGGCAGGGCCCGGGGCTGGGGCCTGGGCCTTGCACTCAGACAGACTTTGGATGAGAGGCTGAGTCTCCTGTGCAAACCCCATTTCCCCCAGTACCACCTCCAAGACCTGCCAGGAAGAGTTCATTCAGGGCTTCCTAATCTCACCATGTGGGATCAGGAAATGCTTTGTTGGTGGGGGAGGGGGCATCCTGGACAATGCAGGATCTTCATCGGCATCCTTGGCTTCTGCTCGACAGAAACCAGAAGCATCTACCTGCAGAGGCGTGACAACCAAAAATGTCTCAAGGCGCTGCCAAATGCCTCCCGGGGACAGAAGAGCCTGTGGCTGTTGGCCACTGATTTCATGAAGGCAGAGCACCCGCGCTCATCACGCGGGTGCCCGTTCTCCTCCTGGCCTACCGCTTCGGGTTTGAGGAGGTTAACCAGCTCCATTCGATCATCCCCAAGAGCCTGCGCGGTGACAGTGCTAGTGAAAGCGTCTGAAAATTAGGAGGAGCTGTACCGATGGAAGCCATACCTGAAGGGGGAAGGAGGGTTCCCAGGATGAACTGGCTCTCCCCTCACCCAACTACCACCAGAAGGCCATCTCCCTGGCAACAAAGCGCACACCCAAACCCAACCTACTCCCTGAATCTCTAATGAGATGAGGGCCCACCATCTGTGACAACCCTGGCGCCACCTTGGATCAGAATGGGTCTCGGAGCAGGAACAGGATCGATCCCAGGCCAGCAAGATAGCAGTAGCGGAACCCACCCCACACAAGGCCCAGGAAGCCATGCTGTGCCTGGTCCCTTGTGTACAAGCAGAAAGAACGCCGGCCTAGACGTTCAGAGATGTTCTGCCACTGACTGCATGATCTGCTCTGTTCTGCAAGACCCTGCCCTGCTCTGGGCCTCAGCTCAGCACTGTAGCACGGAGACCAGAACAGAGCAGCGGTTCTCAACACCAGCGGCGCGCCAGAATCACTCCGGAGAGCTTTACCAATTACCGACGTCCTGGGCTCAGCCCCAGCCCGATGAAGTCAGAATCGCTGGGTGCTAGATGTCCACTCAGTTCGTACAGATGACGAATCCCCTTCTTGGCGGTTACAGTAAAGCCTTGCCCCGGCCAAAGCTTCAGTGCAGGAAGGTCTGACCCAGACTTCACTCAAACACACTATCCTTTGCTTGCCTAGAGCCAGACCAGAGCTACAGCCAGGGGTCTGGGCCGCGCAGCCCATCTGACGACCTGCCGGACACCTGGCCCCCACTTCCCACTTCTGGGTCTTTGCTCACAATGTCCTCAAATGAAACCCCAGCCCCTCTGAAGGCCCAGCTCAAAGGCCCTCCCCACCCCTGCTTTCATCTGAGCCCTCCCAGCGCATTGTCCGTGCCTCCATCAAACAGCCTTATTAGAAAAAGCAATTTCCACGGCGGACGGTGTGAGTCCTGGGAGGGCCAGGGGGGCAGGGCTGGGCCCATCCATCTAGGGCACCCAGTACAGGCTCTGACTCGCCACAGGTGCTCAGGAATGGGTGGTGAGTTGCATGTGCTAAGCTGACCTGCACCCGGCGGTCGGGGAGAAGAAGAGAGCAGAGGTGCCCATCCACCTTCCTGGAGCCACTTTCAGGGCCTGGCTGACCTGATGCTGTGAAAGGGGGCTGAGGAGTGGGTGCCTGTCCCCACAGCACAAGGCTGGGGCCCGCCTGCCCCTCGGTGCCTCTGCTTCTGCACCTGTTAAATGACGATGAGGGCAGTGGCCCCGACAAATAAGAGGGCGAATCCTTAAGTGCCCCGGACAGTGCAAGCTGCAGCCCACACATCAGCGGGCCTCGGGTGGGAGCCCATGTGGGCAGTGGGGCACTGGGGAAGGGGACTGGAGAGCTTACCACGGCCTCCCCACCTCAAACCAATTTCTCCTCATTTGCTTGGCACGTCTCAGGGTTTATTTAAATCCAGCAATCTCCCTCTTAGCGAGGCCCTAACTGCCCTCCCTCCAAGCACAATCTCTCCTCGACCTCCCAGCCCCCAGCCCCCAGCCCCACGGGGCACAGGACTGCACAAACACCGACAGTGGGCCTGATCCACGGCGCGGTTCTGCCCCTGGGTCCAGCCCTCTGAGGCCTCCCTTCCCTCCCAACCCAGCTCCTAACCCCCGTCACAGCTCCTGAATCCCAGAGAGAGGCCACCAAGGAGATGATGAGGCAAGCCCGACCTCCCACACTGCTGGCTGACCCCACCAGGCAGGGCCCCCCAGCACACCACACAGGCCAGCAGCACAGAACCCAAAGGAGTGCCCTCGGTCCCGAGCTCAGCTCGGCCGCCTCTGGGTGACCCTGGACCAGTCCCCTGCTCTCTCTGGCTGGCCGTGAAGGATTCTTCTGGCACAAACTTCTGTCCCAAGCAATGGACACAACCAGTCTAGCAATCGAAAACTGAGCTAGAGACTGTGCCCTTTTCTCTGGGGGGCTTTTAAACGATGGCTGGGGGCTGCACTGGGATGATTCCTGCACCCCTCCAGCCGGAGTCTGCCTGTGAGAGGTGTCATAGTCCTGTGGCAGGGACACGTTCCCCCCCACCCCTGCCATGGGAATGCTGTCAGGAGCCTGGGGCCTAGGGCCTCCAGAAACACTGACAAGGGTGTCCCAGTAAATGACTGGTCTGGCCACAGGCCTCCTCCACAGCCCCCTGAGAGAGCCTGTGGGAGCTGGAGGGTTGGTCCCCCAGAGCTAGACACGTCCCTGCAAAGAGCAGTCCCGGGGCCTCAGGGACCTCTACCACTGGAGACCCTAAAGGCCCAACATGCTCCCTTGGCCTCCTTTCCAGAGTTCGGGCAAGGCTCCCGGGAAATCAGCAGACAGCAGGACTCACCTCATCCAGTTGGCTTTAGTCTCATCTGACCCATCAATGGACTTGTAGCGGTTGTTCTTGTCCACAATCTGGAAGACAGAGAGAGAGTCTAGAATGGGCATCCTCGAGGGGGCTCTCGTGTCTCTGGACTCCTCTCCAGACCGGGGCCCAAGGACACCACACAGAACCTTCCCGTGCTCTCCCACTGCAATGCCCCCGCCGCTGCGGGACCGACCCCTGAGCTGCGGCAGGAATCCCATCTCCCACCTCTATCTTGGTGGAATACCCAGCAACATGGCCAACAAGTGGCATTTCCAATAGCATCATGTCGCACCAACAGCTAAATTCAGTCCTTCCCTCTCTCTGTGGTTTCTGTGGGAGACAGAGGCTGGCACTGGGTGACTAGGCATATGTGATTTCGGAGGGCTTCTCCTCTCCCCAGTCTCCAAATGTTCAAGAGCCTCAGGGTTTGCGATGGGCCCCTTCATCTTCTATAAAATTGTCTTTATTTCATCATCACTTTCGCATCAGAGTTCAGCTGGATATGGAATTCTAGACAGATGAACTTTATTTTCTTCCAACAAACAAAGGCTACCAAGAAGGCTGCCACAGGCGCTTAAGCAGCCTGCCGTTAGTCTAGTGTTGTTCTTTCGTGCGTAATCTGTCTATGGTAAATTTTAAGACTTCCCCTGTATTCTTGATTTTCTGCAGTTTCACTATGTGGCTTTGAAATGGAGATTTACTTTTGAAAATTCTCCTCATTACTGGTCAAGCACATTACTTGATAAGGACTTATTTCAATTCTGGGAAATTCTGAGCTATTGTGCTTTTGAGCACAGCTTCTCAGTCATTTTCTCCAGTCTCTTCCAGCAGAATTTCTATTAAACAGATATGGTAGGAGCCCAATCTATTCTCCATGTCTTCAACTGCTCTTTCATAATTTTCCCTCTTTATCTTCCTGGGTGATGCTCTCAGAAAATTTCTCAGAACTCTCTTCCAATTCACTCATTCTCTCTTTGACTTTGTCTGGTCCAGAGTTTATCTGTCTGCTGAGGTTTTTCCTTTCTTTCTGGCCTTCCTTTTTATTATTTTTTCCTTCCATTTTAAATGACTACTTTTAATGCAATCAATATTTTTCATTCCCAGGATTTTCAATTGGTTCTTTTTCATACCCATTTTTTCTTATTCTGCCTCTTTTTTGTTTCATAGTGTTGTGTTCCTTCTTCTTCTAACAGCTTTATTGAAGTATAATTAACATATAATATAACATTTGATAAATTTTGACAAATGTATATATCACAGTCAAGATAACAAACATATCCATCACCCCTAAGAACTTCTTCAGGGCCCCTGTAATCCCTCCCTCCTGCTTCTCTCCACATCTCCCTTTCCCAGTCCACAGGCAAATAGTAAGCTACTTTCTGTCACCATAAATTACTTTGCAGTTTTCAAGACTTTACACAAGTAGAATCAAACGGAAGGCATGTCTACCTTCACTCAGCACAATTATTTTGAGATTTGTTCCTACTGATGTGTGTATCAGAGTTTATTCCTCTGTATTGGTGAGTAGTATTCCACTGTTTGGATGTGCCACTATTTTTTTTTTTTTAATCTCCTTATTGATGGACATTTGGGTTGTGTCTAGTTTTTGGCCATTACAAATAAAGCTGCTAAGAGACATCACTAATAAATCTTTGTATAGACACATATGCTTTAATTGCTCTTAGGCAAATAATTAGTAGTGGAATTGCTGGGACACATGGTAAGAATATGTCTAACTTCTAAGAAACTGCTAAACTGTTTTCCAAAGTGTTTGCACCATTTTACATGCCCACCAGCTGTGTGCGGGATTTCCAGTTGACTCACATCCTCACATACTTGGTATGAACAGGCTTTTTCATTTTAGCCATTTTGATGGGTACGAAGCAGTATCTCATTGTGGTTTTAATGTGCATTTCTCTGATGACTAATGATACTGAATATCTTTTTGTGCACTCATTTGTCAGCTGCATTGTCTTCTCTGGTGAAGGGTCTATTCAAATCTTTGGCCCATTTTTTAAATAGTGGGGTTTTTTCTTATTGTTGAGTTTTGGGAGTTTTTAAAAAATATATTTTGGATACAAGTCCTTTATCAGGCATATGTCTTACAAATATTTTCTCCTAGTCTATGGCTTGTTTATTCACTCTTTTGGTGGTGTCTTTCTAAGAGCAGAGGCTTTAAATTCAAACAAACAAATAAAAACTCACTGTCTTTTTCTTCTTAATGGATGTTATCCTTACTTTATTTCTTTGAAGATCCTAAGGCTGTGAGTGTTAATTATCTATTATCCCTTTCATCCACAGTAACAGAACCCCTGGATTATAACCGAATACCTGGCTACCTGTAATAACAGAATACATTTCTTGGCTTCTCCTTTGGCTAAGTTCTGGCCAATAGAATGTAGGTGGAAGTGTCATGTGTCATCTTCCTGAAAACATCTTTAAAATACAGCTGATAGGGCTTCCCTGGTGGCGCAGTGGCTGAGAGTCTGCCTGCCAATGCAGGGGACACGGGTTTGAGCCCTGGTCTGGGAAGATCCCGCATGCCGTGGAGCGACTAGCCCCGTGAGCCACAATTACCGAGCCTGCGCGTCTGGAGCCTGTGCTCCGCAACAAGAGAGGCCGCGATAGTGAGAGGCCCGCGCACCGCAATGAGGAGGGGCCCCCACTTGCCGCAACTAGAGCAAGCCCTCGCACAGAAATGAAGAGCCAACACAGCCATAAATAAATAAATAAATAAATAAAATTTTTTTAAAAAGGCAAAATTCCTTAAAAAAAAATACAGCTGATACATGCGCTTCTACTATCCTGCTGCCTGGAATGCAGATGTAATGGCTGGAGCTCTAGCTATCAACTTGGACTATGAGGCTATAATCCAAGCATTGAGACAGTGATTAGCTGGATCAAGCTTGATTCCTGAGGACTTAATACAGGCTCAGAAGGTATTCACAGAAGAAAACTTAATTCCTGTTTTGCTCGAGCCACTGTTATTTTGAATCTCAGTGACTCACAGTCAAACCTACTCCTGATTCAGATCTTAGTTATTTTAAATTCATTTTCAGAATATGCTACTATTTTTATTTTAATTAGAGTGAATTCATTTGTCATTGTTTTTGAAGGCTGTCTTTGTAACATTAGTTTTCTTCATTAGTTCTGGAGGTTTGGTCCAGAGGCTCATCTTGAGTAGGAGTTTGTCTGCCTACCTCTTGCTTTTTCTCATTTGAAGCAGTCAACCTGGCTCCCCTTTCCACCTCACCTGGGGCACTTCTATTTCATAGTACCCTACAGGAGCTAAAACTGATTGCACTAGACTAGAGCCCTACGGGCCTTTGTTTTCAGTTCTGTGATCACTTCATGTTTCTCTCCTTCTCTCTCTCTCTCATTTTTTTTCTTTTTCTTCTCTTTTTTTTTTTGGCTGGGGCTCAAACTGTGAACCCTCAGTCCATCTGAATTGTAAGCCCTCATGCCCCCTCCACACACATCTTCTTTACCTATACTTTCTCTGGACATTCACATCCATTTCCACACTCTCAATCTGTTCATTACTCACAGATTTTCATCTCAAGCCCCAGGTGTGAATACCTGATTTCCCATGTGACACGCCCCCTTGGATATCTCACTGGCTGCTCAAACTCACCTCAGGCTCCACCCCCAAGCCTGTTCCTCTCATTTTCCCCATCACAGTATTTGAAACCACCATCCACTCAGGTTTCAGAAAGTCATCCCTACCAAACCCCAGTGAATTGTAACACTTGAAATGAATGAACTGTACAGTATGTGAATTATATCTCCACAGAGCTGCTAAAAAAAAAAAAAGGAAAGTCATCCTTCATGCCTCCCTCTTTTTTAAATTTTACTGAAGTATAGTTGATTTACAATGTTGTGTTAGTTTCTGCTGTACAGCAAAGTGATTCAGTTATACATACATATATTCTTTTTCATATTCTTTTCCATTATGGTTTATCACAGGAGACTGAATATAGTTCCCTGTAATATACAGTAGGACCTTGTTGTTTATCCATCCTATATATAATAGTCTGCATCTGCTAATCCCAAACTCCCAATCCTTCCCTCCCCCACCTCCCCTCCCCCTTGGCAACCACAAGTCTGTTCTCTATAGCTGTGAGTCTGTTTTTGTTTTGTAGGTATGTGCGTTTGTGTCGTTTTTTTAGATTCCACATATAAGTGATATCATATGGTATTTGTCTTTCTCTTTCTGACTTACTTTGCTTAGTATCATAATCTCCATCCATTTTGCTGCAAATAGCATTATTTCATTCTTTTTTATGGCTGAGTAATATTCCATTGTGTACATGTACCACATCTTCTCTCTCCATTCATCCGTCGATGAACATTTAGGTTGCTTCCATGTCTTGGCCATTGCAAATAGTGCTGCTGTGAACATAGGGGTCATGCCCCCCTCTCTTGATCCCCACATATCTAATCCCTCAGCAAGTCCTCCAAACCAAATTTCAAAACTGCTCCTGTCTCCACTGCTTCCTGCCATCATCAGCTCTCCTCCAGACAACTACAAGAGGTCCCTACTAACCTCCCTGATGCCATTTTTAACTCTCCACTGATTCTCCTCAAAGCAGCCAGAGGAACCTATTAATGTAAATTAGATCATGTCACCCACCAGCTCCAGAAGGCATACACTGTACTTACAATAAAATTCATACTTAGGTTCACTGCCTTGAAGGCTTGTACGACCTGGTCCCTGCCTACCTCCCAACTTCTCTCAGGCCTCTCTCTCCCCCTTCACTTTTCTGCAGCCACAATGCTGTAAGAGTGAGACTTCACGCTGCCTGCCACCTCTTTTCCCCACTCTTAAAAAAAATGATATTCATGAAATATCTCAAGCATTCAGAAATTATAAAGAGTAATGTAACTGACCACCTTGTACCCATCAGTGAGAGCCAAAAACAATGACCACCAGCCATTTCTGTCCCGGACCTCTGTCTCCTCC